ACCTTTCCCAGGAGAATGGGAAACATCCTACCATAAAAATGCAAATGGGGTAAAGCTTGGAATAGAAACATTCCAGCACTCCCTAATTCCTGGCAACTTCAGCCAGCACTCATTAGCTCTGATTTTCAATCTAAGGGCACTACACTCATACTATTTTTAGGTAATTATTTTTATTTATTTCAACATCTCATTGATAGGAAGGCAGATGGAGAGAGGGCATTACAAGGGTCTGGAGTGAAAGGACACAGGGAATGGCTCCCACTGCCAGAGGGCAGGGCTGGATGGGAGATTGGGAATTGGGAATTGTTCCCTGTGAGGGTGGGCAGGCCCTGGCACAGGGTGCCCAGAGCAGCTGGGGCTGCCCCTGGATCCCTGGCAGTGCCCAAGGCCAGGCTGGACAGGGCTTGGAGCAGCCTGGGATGGTGGAAGGTGTCCCTGAACTTTGAGGTCCCTTCCACCCCAAACCATTCCACGATTCCACAATCTCAATTTCTCAAGTTTACTTTCTCTCTCATTTTCACACCTCCTCAACAGAACAAAAGTCAAAAAGTCTGGAAAGATGGAACAAAACTCCAGAGATTTTATCACAGAACACAGTAATTATCCATAAAAGAAAGGAATGTCCCTTTTCCATGGGGATCAAGAACAAAGAGCAGGCACTGAGCAGTCAAGGTCAAAGTCCCCCAGAGTCTTCTGTAAGTATAAAGAGAAACACCACATTTGTTTAACTGCAGTGAGGGAAATGGAGATGAAACATTCAGAAACTCTTTTATAACAGTAAAGATGGTTAGTTAAGCCCTGGAACAGATGGCCCAGGGAGGCTGTGGGGTTGCTATCACCCGAAGTTTTCAGAACAGGTTAGAAAAACAGCTGTCTGCAATACTACAGGTACAAGTAATTCTGCCTGCAGGTCTGGATAACCTCCTAACATCCTTTCTAAACTAATTTTCTAAGATTCTGTAAAAAAAACCCAAAAAAACCAATGCAGACAAATTTAGAGAGAATACCTGAAAGAGCAGAAATTGGAAATACACAAAGTATTTGCTTTTTATTTTATTTCAGTATTTACTACTTACTGAATGTGGTTCAAACCCTCCTGTGATTTACAGCCCCTTCCTAAACCAGCTCTGGTGAAAACAGTATTAAAAACACAAACAAAAACCTCATTATTCTCACTGAGTGATCCATCCCATCAAATACCTGTGTCTGAGGGGGAATGTGCACCTCAGATTGCAACTGCTGAGCTGGATACCTCCACTCTGGCTTTGATTTCCTTGTTGAAACCATGGAATTGCTGGATGGGAGTGGTGCAGTGTTCCCTTTACTAGAGGAATATGTGCCATAAATGGCTTCCTTTGCCTTTGGGAAGGTGATGGTGTCTGCGTTCTCAGGGTCCAGCCTGCTACTGATCTCTCCTGTACAAATAAAATGTGGATTGCAGTTTTCATCTACTTATTAGCAGTTGTTAATTTAATCAAATTGACAAACAGAGGCCTGATCAGGTGGTGACAGTCATGATTCCCAGCACCACTGGCTTAACAATGGGCATAGCTTCAGATTTGGGTGCTTAAAATTTGAAATGTTCAGGTAGGAACCCAGGAGGAGCCCAGAAATGACAGGAACCAAACCCTCCCAGGGATGAAGAAATTTTATTCCTACACAGGATTTTCCTGTGCGTTATGCCCTGCAGGATTTGGTGAGTGCTCATCACAGAGCTCTTTCCTTGGGAGATAAAAACCTGAGAGTGAAGCTGGAGGTGCAGCTGAGGGTTGTTTGCAATGCTCTGTACTCACCCAGAGCTGATTTCTTGTGCTGCCTGGGGAATTCAGGGAAAGGAGCTGCTCTGGGCACAGCAGGAGGGGCTGGCAGAGTTCTCTGTGCTGCTGGAAGGATGAGCCTCTGGCCAGTGAGGCTCAGGGCACCTACAAGAAGATGACATTCCTGAGCAATTCCAGCTAGGAATGAAAAGGAATTCTTGGCAATGAAGAAAGAATTAAGCAAAGGCAGACCCAAGTTCTGCATCAACTCTACAAAAGCAGCACTTTCCTTTAATTGAAAGATTCCTATCTTTCTTTATCCACCTTGAAGGAAGGTGAGCTGTGCCTATAAAAATTGACAAATACATATAAGATATTGCACCAATGCTAATTCTGAAAGATGTTTGGATATCTATAATTATATGCTTGTACAATGCAATTTAATATGCAGAATAGATGCGAATCAACTCTTGTAAAGCACAATATAATCATGCAATTACCACTAAAAACAGTCCAAGCCTAGTTAAGACTGAACAATTAATAACCAGCTGTTAATCATGATAGTTTGACTGGTATTTATACCAGAACCTCCACCACACACACAATTCTTCTTTGCAGCAGCAGCTGAGCCCTGTGAGCTCCAAGAGCTGGCTCAGGGTGCTGCTCAGCAGGACACACTCCACAGCCTCCACCACCCCACACCTGGAGCAAGCAGCCTAAAGCTCATCCCCACCCTTTGCAAGGCTTGAAATCACAGTTCTTGGAAGCCTGCAGGAGGCAGGAAATTCAATTCCCAAATATCTGCTGCAGACAGCAGCACCCAGGGGGCCTCTGGGACTCACCTTTTGGGGTGTCCTCTTCTGCCAGGGGGAAGGGAGAGCCCAGGGAGTGGAAGGCAGGCAAAGCCCAAGGGCTGGTGGCTGTGGGATCCTTCCCTGTCTTCTGACTGCACACCTGGGAAGAGACAGAACCTCCTCTGCACAGGGAAATCTGGGATTTACAGATTCTCTACTCGTGCAGCAACAAATAATAAATATAATTTCTGCTGTGACTGTTTCATTAAGATTTAACAGTGCACCACTCCTTTTATTACTTGTGAACATGCTGCAGTATTGTCTACTGTTGTTACTTCAGTCATTGAAAAAATAGTTAATTAAATTTAATTGATGTCTTGTGTACTATTTAATGAAGGAATCTCAGGAAGTTTGTATTTACACTACTCTCCTTAAAACTGAGCAGTGTTTCTTGACAGAACAGTGTTAAAAAATATAAAATAAATACACAGGCAAGGAACCAGAAGGAAAAAGAAATACTTTAAAATATTAGCTTTTAATGAGTGATTATCAAGCTTTTGGTGCAATCCAAGCCATGGCTGGGATCTTGGAACACTGTTGTGTCCTAATTATTGAATAGCAGCACCCAGCAACTTTCTAGAAAGGGAGAAGGAACTCTCAAGAGGGAAATGAGACAGACCAAAATTAACTATTCTAATCTTTCCTCCCAGTTTGTCTAACAACGCTGCCCACAAGAGATAAGGGACAGAAATCTGAACTTTTTATCATCATGGAGAACCTTTCAGAGCAATCCCAGGCCCTCACTTTAGTTATGGCCATTCTGGAGCATTGTATTTTAAGGGATGGAGTGGATGAATCCTCATGTGCTGGTGTTCCAAGAAAACTGCAATAACCACAGAACAAAGGTTAACTTTATGTCTGCTGCCATGTAAGTGCCTTGATGCTGAGAAAAGGGAATTATAAACCACATTTTCCTGCTCACCCTCAGCCCCAGCAGTCTGATGAGGCCACAACAAAAATATATAAAAGGTGAGAAATTGAATTAAACAGTGATTCCTCTTCCAGACTGTTGCTGCTGTAGCACTGATTTAACTCCTGGTCAGTTTTATCCTAATTTAAATCCCAGTTATGAGGTTTTGTTATGATAAACAGCACATGAAATATATTTGTTTTCATTGTGTTCATAGAGATGTAATAAGCTACAAGGAAAAGCAGTTCAGGTGCAGTGTGTGTGTTCAAAAGCAGCCTGGAGGCTTGGGTTTTTAATTTTTTTTTTAATTGGAGACAGATATTTAAGTCTTTTTTGCTGTATCCTTTAATTTCTACGAAGTCCATGGCAGTGATGTTGAAACAAGGACTGAGGCAACAGAAATGTAATTTAACCCCTTGTTTACACTGCCCAGTGCCATCACTCAGTAGGACAGGAACACAGTGGGGCCACAGAGCTGATCCAAAAGAGCTCCCATGGAAATTCCACCCAATCCCTTCACTTCCAGCACCTGACTGCTGCATTGGCTCCCTCCTGAAGAACTCAGGGAGATACCAAAGCAAAACTGCCAAACTCCTGCCATTTTGGGAGCTATTGTTACTAAAATTAAACAAACACAATCATAATAAGGCCTCAAAAATAATATTAAGTACTGCAAGAGAAAGGTTTTTACTTTTAACATCACTGCTTCATCATGAGCACTTCTAAAATTCAGTTTTTTAGGGCTGGAAGGGAGCTCTTAAATTGCAGGGCAGACCAAGGCTGACTTGTCTTAAAATATGCTTGGAGTGTGCTAAAAAACTATTTTTTCATTTCAAGTGCTTCTGAGTGTAATTAACCTGGGACACAAGAAAAACAATTCTATTACCCTTTCTAAAGTGTTTTTCTCCTGTGGATAAACCTCTCCCACTTTATTTTTTCTTTTTGCTTCATTTTAAATAGGGCACTTGTTGGAACACCACAGGGATTTTTCTGATTAGTTCTCTATTTGTTTTCTTTTTACCTAGCAATTTTTAACTAGAACATCATTTTTTTTTTGTTGGGTTTTTGGTAAATATCTTTGTAAGTATTTTTTCCTCCAGTAAAAAAAACAGAGATTGGTATTAAATACAGAGGAAAGAGGAATACTGTGTACCAAACCAGGAACAGAGAGATGAGATTTGGTAAATAAGTATCAGAAAATCTGAGGGTTTGATAGTGATGGGGAAAAAGGGATATAACAGATTAATTTATCATTTCATCTATCCTTCCCCAAACTGTCAGATTTGTTGTTGAGAAGTTCCTGTCAGGATTTGATGGACACAGCACTTTCCTCTATAAAGGGAAAGAGGAAGCATAGCAAAATAAAATCTAAGGTCACTTTTCAGGATGTTCAGGAGACTGTCAGGAAAGGGCTTGGAGAAGGCAAGTTGAATTGGAAAAATTTGGAATTGCATCTTTAACAACAGATCGTGTGCTGTCCTTACCTTCTCCAAGCTCTAAGAGTAACCAGAGATGGCTCTGAACTGTCAATTTCCCACATATTTGGAAAAATCAAGCTTTGCCCCTTTCCTGACCCACTGCTGTCTACCTCTCCCAGGAGCCCAGATCCATCAGAATTCCTCCCTAACAGGTGTGAAAGAGAATGAAGGGAGAACTTTGGTGAATCCCACATCTGCTTTGTGAAACAGGCACCAGCAGCAGCACAGAAGGGAGCGAGGGAGATAATTGCTGCCTTGAACCACAACATGTTTTCCTGGTGGGCAGAGGGCCAGCTTCCACCAGGCAGGATTTGTGGGATCAATTCCCTGATTGGAATTCAGGGCTGAGCCTCCCTTCCTGTCCGGAGCCAGCTGCAGGCAGCAGCCCATGGCATCCCAATCAGGCAGGGAGTTTTGTCAGGGAATGCTGAGCTGCACACAAACAGCTTCAGCAGCTCTGCCCGCACCCCTGCCTTGCAAAATGACACTCCATCTCCAATTCCAGATGACAAGAACTGGATAAAAACTTAAAACAAATGGTGACCTTTCCAAAGATTAATTTGTTTACCAACAAAACGTTCTGCGTTTGTCAGGAGAGATGGGGGTGACCTTCACATTCCCATTTCCAGGTTGAGAGGATGCTGACTGCACTCATCTGTTAACTTAACTCTCTCTCACCAATTATTTCCTTTTTATTTTTAGTGACAAGAGGATTTTATTCAATCACCGTGCTGCTTATGATGATTACATGCCGTAATACAAATGCAAGGAGCTTCTTTTGATTTACTGTAGTGTGACATCAATTTGTTTAAGTCTCATCCTGCCACCACTGCCAAACTCTGCTTTGGCTGTAATTAGAGCCACATGCCTGGCTTTAAAACACAATCAGCTTTGGGCCACCAAAAGACGTGGTTTTCTTCTACAGCTTCTTCCAGTCACTTGAAATGAAAGGAATTTCCCTGCTTGGCTTTATAATTTTGAAAATAAATACACTTTCAGGGATAAGCGTTAAAGATGAGCAGCACGCAAATGCTGAATAAAGAATGAATAATTGAAGATATGATTAGAATGGTTGTGCTCACACAAGTGAGCTTAAAAAAAGCCCCAGAATCACTGCCATCACCATTAGAGCCACACTAGATAAGATGCAACTCATAAAGGCTAGAAATCATCACCATATTAAATTCTACCTCATGAATAAATGAAAAGGTTCCTAAGTTTACAGTATAATATACATTTATAAGAAAACAAGGACCCAAAAGTGCCAGTATAATTCTATAACAGAACAGCAGCCCTATGAAAACAGAAGGTAGAGCTGTGAATCTTTTCTACATTGCAGCAGTGCATCAGAATTATTTTTGCAGCAATTCAGATTACTGTTCCTTTGGCTGGATACTCCGTGGGAAGTATACATATTTAATAATTATCCACTCATCATTTTTCATCTCTCATTCAGATATAGGCTGCAAAAAGAAGTGATGCCCAGTGTGTGTTCCAAAGAGAATTACAGTCCTCATTTTAAAATAACTACAGAACTTAGCAGAGGATGAAGCATTATTATTAGACCCAAAAAGGTCCAAAAGGGCAACAGTTAATTGTACTTAGTTTCTATGATAAAACCCAGCATCAGCAACTTTGTAATACCAAAAGAGCAAGAAAAGACATCATTTCTGGTGAAACAATGAAATCCTGACTAATAATTTTTCCAGCTACTGGAATGGCAGGATAATAAAAAGTCCGGGTAGATTTGTGCTTGACCCCTCAGGTCACCTCCAACCCCGACTTTTCAACCTCATCACGCTTTCAACCGCTCAGCCCTCGTTGAAAAGTCCTGAATGGCGCGAGACAAGCAATTAGTTTGGAATTTAATTTGAATTTACTCGGGTGAGGGTGATTTTTCCGGGGTTTTTTGGGGAGCCGCTCGCTGACCCCTGAGGGACGTGCGCGTACGGACAGCGCCCCCTGCCGGCCGGCCGCCCCTTCCCGCGGCCGCTTTAATCGAAATTTTACCCAAATTAATGTAATTGCAGACCCGAAGCTGCACGCAGATTCATTGGCCTTACTGCTAATAATCATATATATCACGTATCATCATATAGATCATATAAAAGCCCTCCTTTAAGTGCTGGTAGACGCCACCTTTAACAGCAAACACATCTCAGCAAATATCAACTGCAGAAATTTTACAGCCAGAGAAGGCAGAACATCCCAAACCACACATTGTGCCCTAAGATTCGAAAATTTTGAAGAGAATAAATTAGAGAGGAAACACCTGCTTGGTTTTCAAGCCTGTCAGCTCCTCGGTAAATGTAAATGTGTATCTGGGAGCCTGAGTAATTCACATGAAATGCTTGCAATTTAAATCCCCAATAAGTTTTGTGTGCTCAGTGCATGTTTCAGGGAGAGTGGTAAAACACATGGCTCTCTGCAGTCGGATAATATTCCTCTCTGTGAGTGTTTTAGAGTGGTTCTAAAAAGCTATTAGCCATGATGCTTCTTTCTAATTAACTCTATTATCACAGGGTTAGACAAATCACCTCTTAAGTCTGGGCAGCAGCTTTCCAAAAATCATTTTTTTTATAAGTGGCAGCTCACAACTGTGCCATTCACAGATTCTCTTTATGTTGTTTAAAACCAAACATCCCAGAATCTCTCCTAGAGCACTGGGCTTGCTGCAGGATGCTTCTGCCACAAATTAAATTTTAGAAGAGCATCCCCATGTGAGACCATTGGCTGCATGGACCACAGTGCTGTGCTGAATTTGTGAACATAATTGATTTTTTGGAGGGATGGCTGTGCCTACCTTTTTTTTTTTTGGTTTTTTGAAAGCATTCTTTGCTAAAAATATCATCTTTACACTTAACTACTGCAGAACAATTACAGAACTGGCAGCAGAACCAAAATTTGCAGTTGCAGGAGGGAAATTTGGAAAAATCAAAACTTCATTTTGCACAATTTGAACACTCCCAGAGCAGAGAGAAGAATGGGCTTTTAATTCTTCCTGCATCTTTGGGTCACAACCAGAAGTCCCCAAGCTCCAGCCTGATTTTCCTGCCATTACTGACCATGCACATCCCATGTATATCCCTATTTTTGCTGGATTGGGATCTTGGGACATAAACCTGTTACATGTCAGATCTGTTTTCCCCAGTATTACCACTCCAAATGTTTTGATCTTTAAATACCCATGTCAAAAAGCAGGAAGTTATGAGGAAATAACTTTTATGTAAATATTTTATTTAGGACTGATAAATATTAACTGTAATAGTGCAAAGCAATGCATATAATAAACCCATAAAATAATAAAAGTTACTTACAGGAGCAGATTTTTTCTTAGCTATAAGAGGCAGCCTGGTCTCATCGTTGGGATGTTTTAAACCAGCTTTATTATCCACATTCTCTGGGTCAAGCATAATTTTAAAATCCATTTCCACCTGCTGCTGAAATAGAGAATAGGGATAATCCTAAAATAACTGCACTGGGGCTGAAGTGTTTAGAGGCAGAAACTGGCTAACATGTTGTAAATTTGCAAAATAATTATAAAAATTGATATTTTTTGACTCCACACAGAACTGGGCCATCAACAAAGTGCCTTTGTTTAGATGGAAAACTTTTTAAGGAGTGGAACTATTATCCAAATGGACACATCAATGCAGGCACAGAAGCTGATTATTAGTAAATGAGGAATTAAAAACCCCTGATAGTAATCAGAATTAAAACATAGTTCTTAGTGCACTCTGTGATCTGCATGGAATGAGTTAGACTATTCTGCTAATAAAAATCATGATGATTTAAATCCCAATGGACAGAAAAAGGCTTTACAAGTTTCTTTTTGTTATAAGAAACACCTAAAGCATACCTATAAAACCAGGAGGGATGCCCTATGTTTTTATTACAGCAGAAGTTTCTTAAGTTAAAAATATTTTTGTGCATATTCTTTTGTATAAACATAAAAATAAATCCAGGAAAATTCCATTTTTTTCAAATAAAATATGCCACAAAAAGTTCAACAATCATTAGATGTGTACTTGAACTATTGAACAACTGTGTTACTTTGTGAAAGCAGTAAAAATGCTTAATTTATTTATCTGCACTATATATTCTCTCTTCTTTTGATGGTAATTACAAGCAGATGTATCAATGAGATGCTCATTTAGATTTGGGGTTGTAAGAACACAAGTTATTATCCAAGCCAATTACTCTTTTACCCACATGGTTGCACAGAGACAGAAAGTTCAATTTTCACCTCATCAGTGCTTTTGTGGTATTTATTTTATTACCATAACACACCGTTGTGCAGGGAGGAAACTGCTGGTGCTATTAAAAAAATAGAATTGGGGGAATTGAGCACCTTTCAATTAAAACAGGAGATTGATTCCCAAAGCAAACTCCTCGCTCGGGCTGACAGGGAAATGATCAATGCAGGGGAAAAGTGTCACACAGGATGACAAGAATTGGAATTATTAATAAAAAACCACCTGATAAAAGTGGCTTTGTCAGTTTGGGTGGGTGGGAAGTGCCAATTCCACACCTGCATGGATGACACTGGAATCTTTCCCAAGTTAAATGTTATCCTGGGCTGGGAGAAGGTTCCCATCTCAGCTGTCCCTGCTGAGGATTTTTTAACACTTTCATCATGGGGTGTTATCAATCCCTGACTCCATGGCAGTCAGAGCATTATGGGATGCACAGGACACCAAGCACTCCTTGAACTGGCCCCTGGCAGAAGGATCAGGGTGGGATTTCAGACCTGAGGGCCCTGGCACACACGTGGGGCTGATTTGCTGCAGCCCTGCACAGTCACGGGCTCCACTGGTGGCAGAACCAGCTGCTTCTGACAGGCACCAAAAGCAGGATTCCTGATGGAGAGAGAAACAGGCACGGAGCTTCCTAAAAGTTACTTGGATTTCACTGCTAAACCCACTCTGCTTTCATCCAGTTCTAGCCAAGTGACTGCATTGTTATTTAAATTTGCATTTAGCAAAAGTAAAATCACAGGAGTTAGCAGAGCACTGCTGGAGCCACTTAGAATTTCACTTACATTTATATTTTTTTTAACTTAAAATCAGAATAGGAAATGACTAAACTAACTTTTTTCTAGGTCAACACTCTCATTTGCTTTACATGATTATGTCACCTCAGTTTTTGTGTCTTGCTGCAATAAAACATCTGTTTCACTTACCACTTAGGGGGCTCTTTGGAATTTACTTCTTTATTACCAGCTGAAGAAAGAGTTAACTCTTGGCCATTTATAACATTGAAATAATTTTCAGCGTGTTTCTGTTAGAGGGAAGAATTACGTTTAGTCTATAACAAAGATAGAATGAATATTAATTTTATTTAACTTGGATCATTATGCAACCAAGTCTTTGCTTGACTGAAAAGTTGATAAGCTTTGTGCCTCTGTTGGACTAAAAATCTGATTTTGGCTGATCAAGATCAGTTAATTCTGATGAGCCAAAAAACAGAGCTATCATTCTGAACTGTAATGTCTGAGTAATCTCATCAGTTGCTGATTGGAAAGGGATCTTGTAACATAAATAAGGGGCCCAAGTGAATTATTAACACAGACTTAAAAAACAGAATCATTTTCTGGATCTGCTCTATTTTACTTACTCTCAGCCCAAGTTCAGTCCTTTCAGGTGCTTTTCTGAGGTCACAAAAATCCACGGCTTCTGCGTTTCCTTTCAAGTTGGTTTTTTCCATTTTAAGCTTCTGAAGGTCCTCCTGAATCTAAAAAGCAAGTCAGGACAAAAATCATACTTGTAACCAAACCCTACGGGGTTAGGTAAGATTTAATTCAAATTAAATTATTCCTAAATATAGGGAAAAAAAATCCACGCAACTCTGTACTCTCAGGATCTCATACTTCTGTACTACTATAATATTAATATAACTTAAATAAGAGAATACAAAGCCAAATACTTAAACTCACTGGCTGTAGAAAGGCTGAAAAAACTCAATTTTAAAACAAACCTCACACAGCAGTGACAATAAACCTCAGGACTGAGATTCTCCGCTTAAGGAACGATGTTTCCTCACACATGGCACAGGTGCTTTCACGGGGCAGGGATCTCGAAAGCCTTAAGGAGAAAGACAAACTCCAGGCAGCCTGTGAGGAGAGCACAGCCCATGGCAAACCCGAGTATTTACGTAAACTAAACAGCTCCGAGCCCCCAAACCGCGCAGTACCCCCAGCCCGAGCCCTGCTCCCTCACGGCCCAGCCGCTGCCCCTCAGGCAGCGCCGAGCCCGCGCATCCCCCGTCCCCTCAGCAGCACCGGGCGCGCCGCGCTCAGCCGAGGGATGACCCGGGGTGCATGAGGGGTAACCCGGGCTGTCCCGGCTGCTCTGCCGGGACAGGAGAGGCCGGTCCGGGGAGGGAGGTGCGGGTCCCGGCGCTGCCCGCACCCACCCGGCAGCGCCAGCCCCGCTCCGGCCATGGCGGCACCGCCGCGCCCGGCAACGGGACGCGCCGGCCGGGCCGCACCATCCGCCCCGCCGCCGGGGGGGGGGACAGCGCATCCAGCGTGGGCCGAGCCCGCGCTCAGCTTAGTCCCTCCTCCGGCCGCCTCCCCCGCGGGCGGTGGTAGCGGCGCGGCGGAAGGGGCGCGGCGCGGGCGCCATGGCGGCGGCAGCGCGGCCGCTGGCGCTGCTCACCAGCTGTGCCGCGGGCTTCGCGCCCGAGGAGCTCGTCAAACGTGAGTCGGGGCCGCCGCGGCGCCCGAGCGGGCGGAACCAGGGGCCGCGGCTTGCCCGCGCCCGCGCGAACCGGGCTGGCAGCGGCTCCCTCCAGCCCCGGCCCTCAGGGAGCCTCAGGATCGTAGTTCTCACCTCAGGGTCGCTGCCATCCTCTCACGGTCCCAGTTGTCCCCTCACGGTCTCAATTTTCCCCTCAGGGTCACCGCCGTCCCCTCATAGTCCCAGCTTTCCCCTCAGGGTCGCTGCCGTCCCCTCACGGTCTCAGTTTTCCCCTCAGGATCGCCGCCGTCCCCTCACGGTCTCAGTTTTCCCCTCAGGATCGCCGCCGTCCCCTCACGGTCTCAGTTTTCCCCTCAGGGTCGCCGCCGTCCCCTCACAGTCCCAGTTTTCCCCTCAGGATCTCAGCTCTCCCCTCAGGTTCTCATTTTTCCCGTCAAGGTCGCAGTTCTCCTCTCAGGGTCTCAATCCTCCCCTCAGGACGGGGGGATCGCAGCCCCCCACCCTTTACAGAGGTTGTCAGAAGCCTCCTTAGTGCTTTAAGGAAATAATTCACCTCTTTCTCAGTGCGGAAGGACTGAAAAGGAAAGCTAAAAATTCTGTCTGTTCTGCAGCTGGTAGAATTGCAGATTACACTGGGTACTGAGTACGTAGAACTCATTCAATAGGAAGTGGTTTTCCTGGGAACCAGTTGCCGTTTTTATGGCTAAAAAGGGGAACACAAGAATAAGATCTGACAGTAGAGGAAACCATGGTGGAGTTTTTGGTATTTTTAAAATCGGGGGATTCCAGGAAGAAGCTGTTCATGGTCTTGGTGGGTTGCCTATGTTAGGACAGCCCTGGGTTTTAGGGAGTTCGTGAACAGTTTGCTGTGCATAGCGAGATGTAGAATTTAACTCCCTCAAATCTTCTTTGGATTTGTTTTTCTCTCTTTCTGAGCAATTCTTACTTAGGACCTCACCAAGCACAGGGCTGCCCAGAGGAACTGGCTCCCTCCACCTCATTAAAGCACGTTTTGAAACAAAAATAACAGAACAAGATCTGCAGTCAAAGGTTCTCTGCCAAAGCAGCTGCAGGACACTGAATTATTTAAAGATTCCACACCAAAAAGTATTATTAGCTTATTTTTGAGGAAGGTATAAACAAGTTGGAAGGAATTACTCAAGGTTCCTCTAGGTTTCCCCTTTGATTACTTTGCATAGTGAAATGAAACAGGTAGAAAAGGTAGGTGAGCAAAAATCTGCTTAAGCTGAGAGTATCGGAAAATTTAAGCTCAGATTTTTTTAAAACTAGTACTCACTTTGAAATATCTCAGCTTCCACTGCTCCCAGTTCCAAGTCTGGAGTCTTGTCTGTGTGTCCTCTGACTGGGTTACGTTAAAACCCTCCTGAAAGAAATAAAATCATTGGATAAAATAAATACCATCAACCTCGTAAGTCTCTGCTTTGTATAACAAGTGACATGAAATCAGATGCAGCAGACTAAAACATTCAAGGACACACAGGCAGGGGTGGGGCAGCAGTGGGGAGGGTTTGGTGGGGTCAAACAGCCTGCCAGAACTCTTCAGGCCAATTCCAAGACTTTTTCCAGGGTTTTCCTCCTGTTAAATGGAAAATGGCTTGAGGATGAGAAGCAGCTGATGGTACATTTGCTAGATATATTTTTATTTGTTCGGGTTCCTGCAGGGTGCTCTGAATGCTTTAATTCATGGGACACTGTGGCAAAACAAAGCTGTTTAAAGTGCTCAGCAGAGATCTGCTTGTTATTATTGTGATGTATTTATCACAAAACTGCGGATAAGATTGGTTCAGTTTTCGTTCTGTCTGATGTGATTGTTCTTCCTTTTCTTTTTGGATTTTTTGCCACTCCCCTTCTCCCCATCCCTAGCATATTTGGGTTCTCTTTACTCCTTGGTGTAATTTTAGGAGTATTTTTTATGGTTTATTCCACCAGGTGGCTCTCAAGGCCCAGAATGTGGGAACTGCTCTGTGTACCTGACAGCTCTGAGGATTTGGGAGCATTTAGGGCATTATGTTCTTAAAACATTTATTCAATCTCAAAAACACTGTGAAAAGTGGTAAATAACTTAATCCCTTTGGGGAAAAAACCTGCAAAAAGAAGTTGTAATCATTAAAAAATTATTATTAGACACACAGTGTGCTAAAAGTGCTTAAATACTACTTGGGTATTGGAGAACAGGGCAGTTACTGCAAGAGAGCTGCATGTTCTCTGATTATTTAACTCTTCTGAAAAGTTATTTCTGTTTTTTTTGAAAGTATTTGCACTTTCAGAAGACTCAGTAAGATTCAGCATTTAAAATGGGAAGGGATGTGAGGTTTTATAATATTGCCATGTTCTCTCTCATGTTCAAAATCATTATTTATCTTGTCTGTATGATAAAATATGAAATTAAATGTTGCTGTTTAAGTCAGTAAAATGAGCAAACATTTTTGTAAATAGCTGGAAATAATTTTAAAAAATATTATTATATATATATATATATAAAACTATTGCTTGCTTTATCAAAATATATAAATACCTGTGAGTGAAGAAGGGGCACAACTGGTGAACTTGCTGAAAAACGTAAGCCAGTGCCTGACTGCCTGGAAGTAATGAAACCTTTTCCTCTGGAGAGGTTCCAGAGAAGTTTGGAGCTGTGTGACACCAGCCAGGATCAGTTACTGAGCCATGAACTGATCTCGTGTGTCAGTTGCTGTTTGTTGTTTAATGGTTTTCTGATACAAAAAGAGCCAAATCAGTCATGGGATGAAGTGGAGAAGGGGATTACCCAGCGGTTGTGGTGACCCTAGTGCAGGACAGGGCTGTGGAGGCTCCAGGTCACCACCCCGGGCTGCTGGAGCAGCCAGAAACGGCCTCAAGCCATCCCCTGTGACAGGCAGCTTCTGCTGCTCCCAGTGCTTTTGTGCAGCGTGGGACACTGCCCGGGGTGTCTCCAGTGGGAGCCAGCAGCTGCTGGGGACACTGGCAGCATCATTTCAGTACGAGTGCCCAGCAGGAGCCTGAGCTCTGGGTGCTGGCTTTGGGGGGCACAGCTCTGTCAGTGCTGCGGCCATTTCCAGGTGTGGTGTTGGTGCTGCAGCTGGAGAGTGTTTGCATTCCTGTCCATGGAGCTGCAGGGCTCCCGGCAGGGCCAGCCCGGGCCTGGCTCTGCTCTGGTCTCACAGTGCCTCCCGTGCTTCTCCAGGCTCTTGGCATGGCCAGCCACTGACACCTGCAATGGCTGAAAAAGGAGGAACTCACTCAGAAGGGCTCAGCTGGACAGGCCACCTCCTTTGGCCAGCCACTGACACTTGCAATGGCTGAAAAAGGAGGAACTCACTCAGAACTCACTCAGAAGGGCTGGACAGGCCACCTCCTTTTGCCATATTCATTTTCTAGGAGTTTGTTCTGATCAATACTTCTAAATTAGATACCAAACTATTCTGGCTGAATTTCCTGCTTTCATTCAAATCCAGGCTGTCTAGAAAAGAAATTTCTGGAATGCTGGGGTGGTAAATACAGCCCTTAAAGCTAATTCCTGCATCAAATGAGGACTCAGTTTGAGTTACAGTGTGTATTTCTGTTGTAATCTCTGCTTGTTTGCTCTAAAGTCCAAAATCTAATTGTTCCAAGTGACTTTTTTGGGAGAGAACGCCTGGCAAGCTGCTCAGTTTCCTGCCAGGAGTGATCAGGCTGTTGTGCAGTGATTTCTTAGAGCCCCACAAGCAGCCTGGGACACAGCAGGTCTGAATCCTTTCACCAGGTTCCTGAAGCCCTTGGAGTTTAGTGTGCAACATCCATTTTTACTGGGAGAGAAATTTCACAGGGAATTGGCAAAATCTCAGCATGAAGGATGGGTAATCAGCAGCACAATGGGATGAAAGAAAACCCCTTAAAGTACAGGAACAAGTAGCAGGTAATAGGAAATGGGACATGGCCTCATTCTGGCAGTGCTTTCAGACCTAAATTTGTCCATGAACTCTTCTAAAAAATGTCCCTTACAAAGCAAATGTGAAATTCATACCAGCTTTTGAAAACCTTTTATAAAGGTTCTTTCCCTTTGTATCTTTGTTAGGGTGACTGACTCAAGTGACTTCAGAGCTGATTTTCTTCCTCACCCCATTTTCCTCCCTAAGTCTTACTGCTGATTTTCTGGGTTTCAGTAATTTCTGTGGACCCTTTTATTCTTAGCCTCTTGTGGCATTGACTTGTAATTCTGTTAGCTCAGACTGATTTTAATTTACTTTCTTATTTTTAACTGTCAAAACACTAGTAAGGGGAAATTAATATCATATTCCAAACAAAACCTCTGAGAATAACAAAGCTCAGAATCCAGGTTTGTTTGGTGGTGACTCAGGATCTTTGTCCCTCAGCTCCAAGGTGAGGTGGGTAATCTTAGCATGGAATATCATCTATTTAAGATGATCATCTGAAATAATCTGAAAAATAATTGCCATCCAGAATAAAATAAAATCAAACTTGAACCTGGAAAAATCATTTCGATGTGGCACTTCTTATTTTAAGAAGCCCAGAGAGGAGACTCCTGTTTCATCCTCTTAAGGAGGAAATGGCTACAGGTTTCTGTTTCCAAGGTCACATTTCTCCCTCGGATTCCATCTCCTCCTCAGGGCTGCAAATAATCCTGGTTTACAGCTCTCCCTGCCTTGTGCCCCGTGCTCATTCACCAGATCCATTTCTCAGCTTTGCAGTTTAGTTGTAAAAATCACTGCAGCCTTGGCAAGGAGGTTTTCCTGTCTCTTTACTAATAAGATACAGATAAATTCAAATTCATCTCCAGACTATTTGGGGAACAGCCTGTTCCAGCAGCTCCAGGAACTCTCAGTACCTTAAAATACAAATCCTTGAAAAGCCATGTGCTTTATTCTTTAACTCTTCTCCTGCCCCAGGCAGTTCTGGATGACTCAGTCCATTTTCTAAATAATTGACCTGTGTTCCAAAGTGTCCACGAGTTTATCCAGCCTGAGCAAGATTTCCTGGCCTTTCCCTCAAGGAATAATGGGATGCTCTGCTTCCAGCTCTGATTCAGCTCCAGTATTCCTGGGAAGGTTCCTGCCTTGGAGGGAGGGCAGAGCTTGACAGCACCTGAGCAAAGCACTGGATTTTAATGGTTGAGCTCCTGCATGGAATTTAATGGGAATTACAGCTGAATTGTAGGAACTGGGTTGATTTTCTCATTAGTTACCTTCAGGTTTTGGTCACAGTTAAACAGATTTTTACATCTCAAAGAGCATGCAAGGGTTGCAATAAAGTTTAGGTTTTCTATCCATACGTCCTGTTTACAGGTACTAAGTTTGAGGTTAACACTTGAACGGACATTTCCAGGAAAACAAAAGGCTTTCTGCAGCTTCTGGGCCATATTTTATATTGAAAACTAGAAAATAAACTCTTTTGAAAGCTAAGCAATAAAATCTGGGACAGAGTAACAAATTGAGTTGAATTTTTAAAGATCTTGATTATGCACTGGTTTATTACAGTAAATATGGATCTGCATTGGCACTGTACTTTTCTTGACAAATTATTTTCTTGCTGCTGGTTTTACCCTCCTCCTCACCACTTTTCTCTCCTGCAGGTATCACAGGAAAAGATGACCTTACTGTGGGTGCAATAACAAGTGGAAGAGTGAATTTCTACCCCTGGACGATAGATAACAAATATTATTCTGCAGATATCCACCTCTGTGTGGTCCCAAACACATTCCACGTGACTGGAGAGATCGCTGAGGCTGTGCAGGCATTTGTTGTGTACTTTGACAGCACAACAGTAAGGCTCTTCTGCTTTATTCTCCTGCCTTATCACAGGGAGAACCATAAATCAGAATCTCCATCCATCCCCTTTAAGTTCTATTCATTGGCAGAAGATCAATAGTAAATATTAAATTTCCCTGCTAACAATAGCAGCAGTTTCCTTCTCTCTTACTACTCTCCTCCAGCTGGAAGAGGGGTTTTCAGGAGACATTATGCCACCATGGAAATCCAGCTCACCATCTCCAGCTTTATTCCTAGCTGGTGCTGCTTCTTTAAGGCTCCTTTAGGACAGACAAAATTTAGGGAGCTAAACATAAAATTCAGGGCATTTCACCCAAAATTGTTTCTACTAAACCAGCAGCAATGAAAACTGGTTTAGTAGAAACCAGAGAGGTTGAGACAAAAAGAGCCTATTTCTTGACATAATTCAATTCTAATACTGTTAAAAACTAAAGTATTGCAGGATGTATTGCAAAGAACACTTTTCTTTTCCCCTGTAGAAAACTGGACTGGAGAGTGTCTCCGAATGGCTGCCCCTGACAGAAGAGTGGCTGCCAGAAGTGATGATCCTGGTTTGTGACAGAGTGTCTGAGAACGGTAGGAGACCCAAAGAACTCCCATCCTCACTTAGAGCCATTAGCCTGCATAATAATTGACTTGCTAATTACATCAACAATTGCCTCTCAGAGTCGGGGTGAGACTGGCCTGGAGAGCTCTGGGGAGCAGGAGCTGAAACCTTCAGTGGGATGTGGTTAGAACTCAGAATTTTACCAGATTGCTCAGAGTCAGCTCTGTCCTGTCACTGCAGGGGGATTAAAAGGCATTCCTGCTGCTGGATGTGCATGATCCTGCTGAAAAAATGGGGAGGACTTGTTTGCTTAATTCCTTTTTTTTTACATTTGGGCATTGAGCACACACATTTGCTGTGATTCTAGACAACAGCAAGCTGGGGGATGCAGGAGTGTCCCTGCAGCTTAATCCAGTGTCAAGCCCAGAGTTAACAGAAGTCTTCATTCACACCTACATTGTACCCTCTGCAAAACCATTTGATTCTATTCCTCAGTTCCAAGGAGGAGTTTAACTCTCTATTTTTGGAATCCACAGTGAATGGAGGATCCATGCCAGCTGCTACACACTTCCCATACACTCCAGAGCAAGCAAACAACTTTGAGGGAATAAAACACAGCTAAATATTCTGATAAATATGCTGGTACTGGTCTCAAATCTGCACCTGTAATACCCATTTTTGTCTCCCAATTTAGGTGTAAACAGACAGAAAGCTCAAGAATGGTGCATCAAGCATGGCTTTGAGCTGGTAGAGCTCAGCCCTGAGGAGCTGCCCGATGAAGATGGTAGGTCTGCTGCTTCTCTTGCCATTTTGAGAATGAAAAGTGCCCCCAAAATACCTTCTAAATAAAGTTATGCCCCTTGCAATTGTTGATCTGCCACATGATTACAGCATGGAATGCTCCCGTTGGTGGGGCTGAGTCTCAGCTATAAAAGGTCACGAGGGGGAGGAGGTTATTTCCTCTGAGAAATTCCATTTGTCCCCTCCCAAATCCAGCTGCTGTTTATGCAGCACCTACGTAAAAGTATCTGCTCCTTTTTCAGCCCCAGGACTGTATTGATACATTAGAAGTTTATATTCCACTTGAAGAATCAATCTAAACAAACATTTTGATGCATGAGGGCAGAAAAATTCTGATTTTAAAAACACTTGAAAACTATTTTATGCTATCTTGGTACAAACAGTGACATGATAGGCTGTAAATGACAGGTTGTTAAAAACATTTCAGAGCAACACGAGCTGTTACACAGGAAATAAACCAGTTTCAGAATCACTGGCTGCCCAACATTTATAGCTTGAAAAAAAACCAGCAAGAAGAGTCAGAAGTGTGGTGTTCCACTCTTGAAAAGTGACTATGCATTTCCTGACAGCTTATCAGCATCAGCCTTATCTCCTCACTTCAGTGACACAAAAACATTTACACCTTACCTCTCTGGAGTAAAGTGAGATAACTGCAGGCTGGAGAGGAATTAGTCACTAACATTCGCTCTATTTCAGGTTCTCCAAGCACATGGCAGTCACCAAAAATAATTCACTATAAAATCCTCACTGGAACACATCCCACCCCTTTCCCCCCTTTAAAGGCCTACTAAAATTGGATCTTGAGGAGCTGAGAAGTCTCCCTCTCTCCCCAGCATGCCTTTAAAAATGTTTCCCTTTTTTTTTAGTCAAGGAGGGAGATGCACAGATTTGATTCACAGAAACTGGGAAAATCGGAAGTGAAGGCTCCTTAGACTAAACAAATACTAATTGCTTTAAAAATAGTAACCTTTAATCAAGTTATTTTTCTATTGAATAATTGTTGTAAAGAACAAGCTCTTTACCATTTATGGGAACAAACTCTTTACAATTTACTTAGTGGCAGTAATAACTCAGGATGTTAATTTTTGGAATATTGGGATACATGTTCTTTCCTAGCTGTTTAATCTGGTAGTTGATTCACTGTGACTCATGCAGAGGAGGAACTGTGTTCCTGTGAGTAACTTATTTACCCCCCAAACGTTCTGGGTGAGTTACAAAAGGCACAACAGATGCTGTAAACACACTGGGCCAATCTCTGCTCAAAATTCTGACATTTCAGGCAGCTCATCTCAAATAAACTGGAAGTTTTGTTTTGACTCATTGTCAGTTGTTTGCACAGTCAGGACAAGAGCTCTGAACTGAGACTCTTGATAATGACTCTGATATCAAACCAAACAGCAGCATCACAGAGGGCAAAACATCTGATTTCAACCTTAAATGCATTTCTAAAGGCAGTTTCAATTACTGCACCTGAGTCACTTGAGTTTGATTTCTAAACAAAAACAGTTTTGTATCCAAAGGATTGTTTGGCTTCTTGTTTTTTTTTGGGTTTTTTTTCCCCTTTGTCAACCTGCACAAACATGGGAAGCTGACTAAACTGAGGAAATGGGAAAACTGACTTGATCCAAAGTGGTGTCAGATCTATTCAGTAAATAAATTAAAATCTGAATAATGCCTTCCCTGGGCTTTCAAGTTCCTGTAATTCCCAGGATTACTGGAACTTTGGGAGTTAGATATTGTGGGGACAGCTTTACGGTATCCCTTTCCATTTTTTACAGGCATCACACCCTTTTTAAATGGTTGTCTCAAGTTCTTTGCTTTCTAAAAGAAAGAAAAGTAATTCTGGTATCTATTTTCTAATATATTTCTATGTTATACAGATTGTAAAAGATCTTGGGGTGAAAGATTCAAGTTTCTTGTCTGATACTATAAAATTTATATATAGCCACTATAAAGTATAATATACTTTTATATTATATTATTATATTTATTATTTACTATTTTATTTTTATTTCCTTATAATAGAATTGTATTTATATTAAAGTATATTATGCTTTTATAATATACTATAAAGATGTTACTTCATGTAGGCCTCCTGCTAAATATTTAACAAAAAGCATTTAGATATCTGCAAAATGCTGAGCTCACAGTTCATTATCCCTGGAAGCTCAGCCCAAGAAGTCAGGCATTAATTTACATTAACTTGGCCTCTCATCAATCAAAGGTGAAAATCTGTGTTCTGTACTGGAGGAGAATTGACAGTGGTTGTGAGACGCTAGGACAGGCCTTCAGCCCCAGCTCTGGAGGCACGTGCTGGTTTTTGGAGTTGTTTTTGGGAGGTTTCAGAGTTGCTCTCTGTGTTTTGGTGCAGATGATTTCCCCGAGTCCACCGGAGTGAAGCGCATCGTGCAGGCCCTCAACGCCAACGTCTGGTCCAACGTGGTCATGAAGGGAGGTGGGTGCCCTGGCCCTGAGCTCTGCAGGCTGGGGAGTTACAGTGGAGCAGCTGGGCCAGCACAGGCACAGCTGGAGCACTCTGGGACTTCCCCAGGGAACAGGAGGGTCCAGCCATTGCTTCCACCCTCCCTTGTTGTCCTGGTGAGCTCACAGGCAGTGGGTGAGATTTATCACAGAATCCTGGCATGGTTTGGTTGGGAGGGACCTTAAAGCTCGGCTTATCCTCTACCCCAGGCTGCTCCAAGCTCACCCAACCTGGCCTTGGACACTTCCACTCACAGCTTCTCTGTGCCAGGGCCTCAGCACCCTCACAGGAAAGGATTTCTGTGTAAAACTTCTCCTGTTCCAGCACCTGCTCCTGTTCCCTCTCTACTTTAACTTGCACTCTGCCAATAATTTGAGTTAAATATTCCATTAATCCTGCAGGTTGCAATGAAAACTCAAAGTTTGTTCCACTAAACTCTAGTAGGAAATAGGTTGTAATTGTCATCTTTATCAGACTGATACATGATTCAGTGTAGAAGTAAAGGTTAAATTGCACATTGGTTGTAGGGGTTTTTTGGTTTGTTTGTTACATTTTTGAGGTTTTTGAGAATAGCTAGTGCAGAGATGAGATTTGGCAAAGGAGGCATGTCAAACATTTAGGGGCTGTTTTTGCTACAGAAAACCCACTTGAGTACCTGGAAACTACAGATTTTTTTTTACAACAGTGCAAAAAATGGGCAACCTCAGATAATTTCCTGAGGTAGCTGATTATCAGGTAGAGATAGAATTTTGGAAAAGTCACTTTAGCCTTAGACTCATCAGAAAAGGAAATGCTGTGGTTACAAGGGTAGATCCTGCCATTTACTTGAAAGCCTGTGATTACCTTTCTAATCACACAAACTGCTGCAGAAAATGTAGGAAGATGAAACTCTTCAGGAGTGCTTGGCCTGGAATTTCTTGTTCACAAAGCCTCATCCCACCACCAACCCTCCAACACCTCTGCTCCCTGATGTCCCATTCCCACTGCTGTGGCTTCTCCCTTCCTACCACAATTAACTGTGGAATGATTTAAGGCACTGTTAATCTCTGTGTCTGCAATGCTTGCTGGGACTGAGTAAAACCAGGCTGAGGATTATTAACCTCCATTTTTTAATGCAGCTTTTTGAGGATTTCTCATTCCCCATCAGAACTGAGGTGAAGGTGGGGTCTGATTCAGTGTAGCCATTGCAGGTAACCTTGGCAGATGGTGTCAGGTTATCTCACTTGTGCTAAAAATGGTTTTTTAACAACACATTTCCTGTATTTGGCAGATGCCACCTTACAGAACAGCAGAATTTAGTCACATGCTCGGTTCCTCACAGGGGGGAAATTCCTGCACATCACTGGTGTGTTCTGTAAAGGTCAGGCTCCTTGAAAAATCCTGGTTTTCTGTCTGCACAGCACCAGCCCCACACAGCACTGCTGTACCACCACGAACCCCTCAGGAAGTGAGCTATATTTGGAAGGTGTTGCAGCCTGACTGTGCTTTCAAAGGGAAATTGTTGAGCTCATTTTGCTTAAAATAAAACTTTTTACAACCTGTAACATAGCTTTTGTTTTCAGCTTCCTCCAGGTCCTAGAAACTGGCTGCCATGTAAATTAACTAAAGCTTTTCCACTGAATGACCTGCAATTCCTGGCTGGTTGAGAACCATGCAGGGAAGAGTTATCAGAGACCCTAAGAGACTTCCAGTAGTAAATGTCTAGTAGCAAATACTTATAGCACTGTTAGGTGTAGCCTTAATTCAAAAACCTGTTTCCATGAGAATTTAAATTTACAGACAGAGCAGGAATAACTTTTTTCAAGCACAAACACCAAATCCATTTTATTGCATTAAGCCCCAACACAATTCTTGTCAAACTGCAGGGTTTTTTACACACCTATTCATTAAAATATTAAACTTCACATTTTTTCTTTCACCATTAAATGCATCATTCTCACACAGATCCATAAAAATAATTATTAAATGTAACACAGTTGAATTAGAAACAAGTTTATACCGGGTAACCAATCCCACGTGTTCTGTGAGTAAATCCAGCAGCATTACCTCTACTCCAAGCCAAACAAGCAATCTTACCTGTGAGTCTGCCAGGAACAAATCCTTTCTGGAGCTGGTGTAAGGTTGGTTCTCCATGCCTCAGAGCTCCCTTCAGTCTCTGGAGGTTTCCTTGAGCAGGAGAACCTGAGGGATTCTCCAGGTAACACATTTCCCTCTCCACAGAGGTATTAAACTGCTGTTACCTTCTCTGTCCCTGCAAGAGCCTCTGTGGCAAGAAGAGAAACCATTTGCAGCCCTCTAGAAGAGGCTGCTTGGCTTCTTTCCTGCTTAAATCCCAGCTTGAGTGATCCCAGGTAAAGCTGCTTACCTCAGGTGGGGCCAGGAATGAGCCTGGCTCTAATCACAGCCAATTAACCTGATTTAGGGAGGCCATTTAAACAAATTGTGACTTTTGATGTGTTAATTCCAATTTTATGTGTAAGGATCACTGTGTCAGCTGGAGACAGACTGGAGGAATAATAATAGGTAAAGGCAGTGGAAAACCTTGGCTATGAAACAGGAATCTGGGAATGCTGAATCCATGTTCAGAGCATCATGAGTGATTCCTGTGAAACTACACAGAGCATGGAATCATGGAATGGTTTGGGTGGGAAGGGACCCTAAATCCCATCCCACTGCACCCCTGCAGGGACACCTCCCACTGCCCCAGGCTGCTCCAAGCCCTGTCCAGCCTGGCCTGGGACACTTCCAGGGATCCAGGGGCAGCCCCAGCTGCTCTGGGCTCCATCGTAGCCACTGACTCCTCCAGTAAGTGGGATGAGCTAATTTTTGGCTTTCCTGCCTTAAGAACACTGTGTAAGGCATCACCCACTTCCTGAATTGCACCCAGAAGTTGAAATAACTTTTACATCCAATAAAAGGAGTTTATAGGAAGGGTTTTCCAAGGGTGTGCCTGCAACCAAGTGTTGTGTCTGCCTCCTCCCTAAACATGGATCCAGGGACAAATAGCTGCTGTTCAGAGATCCCTGCTGCACACCCCAGGTTTTTCAGAAAGGGATGACATTTGTAATAATTCTGGCTGAGGTTCTGCAGTGTTGGAGGAGGGAATGTGGAGCCACTGCCGTTTTTCTGTGCAGAACAAACTCTAATCCCAGCTACGAACGAGGGCCATGATTAGATCATGCATCCACCCCTCTGCCAGAGTGGGAATGTTCTCTCTCCAGGACGTTCTGCACTGCAGTGTCCAACCTTGCCTGAGGTGACTCAGAAACTGGCTCCATGTCCACCTTTACAGCTTCCCCAAAGCCAGCTCTCTGCTCAGCCCATGAAACTTGGGGAAGCTGCTTTGGGATGCAAATCCCAAACTTTTATCCTCCAATTCCTGTTCATTGACCTGCTGGACTTCACAGGCAGCTGAAAGTTTTGCAGGGAATTCATTCAGCTCCACTGATTCACTTCTTCCCACCCCTTTGGCTAGGGGTCTGCTGAAGCAGCAAAAGGGGATAAGGTGGAGCCAGTGGCCCCAAATACCTGCCAGGGATGGGCAGAACAGATCAGGGAACAGGGAATGGGGCTCAGGAATTCTCTCATGGAGATGTGTTTGTGTGAGTGCTGGATGGGCCCAGTTACACATCCAGCCTCTCAGAATGAGAGTCTGGAGTAATGGCAAGGAAATTTGGACAGAGCATCCAAATGACATCACCTCAACAGTTGAGTCTAGAGCTTAGTCATGAGTATAATAATTTAGAACATACTTCTTTTAAAAAGTAACACTAAATCTTTCTTCTGGCAGAAGTCATTGTTTTCTGGCTATTTCTGGTACAATAACTTCACATTTTTTCAGTTTTAGTTGACTAAAATACAAAGGTTTGCAGAAAAATCTCCTGAATGCCTTGTGTAACTGCAAATATTTACTACTCAGTGCAAGGCTGGTTTGTAATGAGTAGTAAACTGACTTAGAAAAACCTGACTTAGTAAAAAACACCTCATCACATCACCCATTATGCACATATTTTTATATAAAACAGGTTTAAAAATACAGCCAGGTTAAATTGAAATTACTGCACCACATTTATTATCTTAGATGACTCTTCAGGTTTGAAATCACTTTTTAGGTTGAGTTTTAAAGCAGCATTCAGATGCACCCTAGGCCAGCAGTGAGGAGTGCCCAGAGCACCTTGCAGTGAGCAGAAACCCTGGATTTGATGGCTGAATCCACCCAGGAATTCTGAATTAGATAATTTAACAATTTTCTTTGCCATCATTGTTGTGCTCAGCCTGTTCAGACCCTGTGTGAGCAGAGGCTCCCGTTGCCTTTCCTGAATCCAACTTCAGACTCAGGGCTGCTTCCCATGGAGGTTAAACCTGGGCACCAGGAAAAGCTAATTCTGCTTCTGGATTTTCCAGCTGCCCCATTTGGAATTTACCAGCTCAGATCCCAATGGAGCAGAGGCTCCCAGCTCTAAAGCTTCCAAGCTCTAGAAAGACCCCACGTCTCCTGTGGCTCACATTCTCTTCCCTGGGGGGAATATTTAGCAGCAAACAGTGCAGACACAGTTTAAAGCTTAGAGATGATGTGAAATTTCTGCTTAAAATCTGTTTTCAAGTGCACTGGCACAGTTTCTCGTGGTGCTGTGAAATACTCCCTCTCCCAGCTGGCCAGCCCCAGTATTTGCAGTAATTTTGCACTTTGTGCTTTGTTTGCAGACAGGACCCAGGGCTTTGGTCTCCTCAGCACCTTGGCAGGAGCACACAGGAGCCGTGGCTGTGAAGAGACCCCGGAGACAGAAGTAAACAGAAATTCCAGTAATTCCTGGTTCCTGCTCTGCTCAGGCCCTGCCTTCATCCACTGGGGGTGGCTGGGACCTCCCCTTGTGCCACAGAGCCAAAGGAAAGAGCACTAAAAGCTCCATTCATGATGGGTTTGATTATATCCAAATTATCCCCTTTGGGGCAGAACAAAACCTGTCATTTCATGGTGTTACTGGAAAAACTCCAACAAATCCATCCTGAAATCCCTTCATGCAGCACCAGTTCCCAGTGCTGCAGAAGGGGCTTTTCATGGCACAGGTTTTGCAGTAACACTTTGAGATAAAGTGCAGGGTTTTGAAGGAAAAGCAGGGAGCACCTGATTTGCTGCTGATGGTTTTCCATGCATTACTGGATACTGAAATATCTTTGTTTCCTGACAGTCTGACCCATCTCCAGGAGACAGGGAAGGATCCCAGTCAGATGCTGGAGAGGATGGGGCTGGCACAAACAGCCTGGAGCCTGACAGTGCTGCAGGTGAGCTCAGCTGGGCACAAAGGCACTGCCAGAGCCAGGAGAGGCCTCAAATCACTGCAGCATTGCAGGAGATGGGACTGTGTGTGAGATCTGGCTGATTGATGTGGTCTCATCAGCTCATCACTCTCTGATTCACTCTGTGGCTGTTTGTGGACAGATCATTCTGGAATCAGCAAGAAATTTAACTACTGGATGAGCTCACATGTAATGTATCACAGAATCATGGAATCTGGAATATTTTGGGTTAGAAGGGACCTTAAAGCTCGTCCCATTCCATCCCCTGCCCTTCCACTGTCCCAGGCTGCTCCCAGCCCCAATGTCCAGCCTGGCCTGGGACACTGCCAGGGATCCAGGGGCAGCCCCAGCTGCTCTGGGCACCTGTGCCAGGGCCTGCCCACCCTCCCAGGGAAGGATTTCTTCCATAAAATTAATCCCCAATGTAACAGTGCCATGATTTGTCTGTATGAGCAATCAGTAAATTGTTTCTTTCTCCTATGACATCGGAATTTGCAAATGGGATTTGCAGCTGTTAAAATCCTGGTTTTCTGCTGAGAAAGCAGAATAATTTCTCTTCAACCAAGCTGTATTTCAGATCCCATGCTGGATATGGACATCCAGGAGCTGGCCAGCCTGACCACGAGGGATGGGGACCTGGAGAACTTTGAAAGGCTCTTCTCAAAGCTGAAAGAAATGAAAGGTAATGCACCAGGAGAGATGGACCTGAGCTCTGGCACCTCCTGCAGGGGCTCAGGGAGAGCCAGGAGTGAGTTGGGAAGCTGTGAAATTCCTGTTCTCCTGCCTCAAGTCCTTTAGAGGTAGCTGCTCTTTCCATTCACTTGCTCTTCATCTTGATAAAGCTCTGGAAAGCAGCAGATGTTGCTCTGGGAGTTCCCAAAGCAGGGCAGGAGGTGCTCACTGCTCACTCCTGAGCTTCACAGCCCCCATCCTCTCCTTCCCCGCAGACAAAGCTGCCACGCTGCCTCACGAGCAGAGGAAGCTGCACGCAGAGAAGGTGAGCCTTGGGAACTGGGGTGGGAATCAGTAACATGGGTGTTTTCTTTCCAAGCCACAGTTCCTGCTCCTGCAGAGTTCCTGGATTAAGTAGTGAGAACAAACCACACAGTCCTAGGGAAGACTTGTCAGGTATCTCCCAAAAACTGAATAACCTGGAAGTTTGAAATACCAGAAAAGCATAAAATCCTGGAATGGTTTGGGTTGGAAGGGACTCTAAAGATCATCTCATTCCACCCCACTGCCATAAAAAAAAGACTTTTCCCCTTTCTGAATTCTGAGGTGAAAGCCCTGCAGTCACTGGGGGTGCTGGCCAGCTTCCACAAGCCAATGGAAAAGTGTGGATCTCCTGGAAAACTTAATGATGCCTTCAATAGCCCAGGTTTTGTATCACAGGTGCCTCCCATGGCCTGAGCCATTGCCTCTGTGTTGCTGAAGTTCCTTCACCTCAGAGAGGATGTGTTGCACTTACAGAGCTGCTTGCCAGATTTAGCTGCTGCTCAGTTCCTACTCTTTGGATGGGAAATACAAAATCCTCAGTCATGTGATGGGAATTCTCTCCCTTTCCCATCTCTTTTGCCATTGTAGGTGGCCAAAGCCTTCTGGATGGCGATTGGAGGAGACAGGGATGAGATTGAAGGTCTCTCCTCGGATGAAGAAAACTGAATTCCTCTGTAGCTGGAAGTGCCAGAGCAACCCTGAGGGAATGATCCTTCCCTGAATTAGTGTTCATTGCCAAAAACCCCATTTAGCTGTAGCTGCTTCCCTTGGTGACAGCATTCCCCATATTCCACATTCCACAACATCTCCTGGCTCCAGAGGCTTTGTCTGACCGTCCTGTCTCCTCTCCCAGAGGACGTTGGAAGGTGACACGTGTGTGGTTCAAGGAAACAGTGATGAGTTTACATTTTTCAAATGAACATTTTTATGATTTCCTCTCTGGGGTTTAAACAAACAAATGTGCTCCCAGTTATCTCTGCACACAGGGCTGGGGCTTGGGAAGTGACTCCTGAATTCCAAACTCCATTTCTCAGCTGTAGGGCTCTTGGATGGTTTCATGGAGCTTTTCCCAGCTCAAACTGGCCAGATTTGGATGAGCCCTGAGGAGGAGGTTGCTGAGCTCCGTCCTGCCAAGTGCCAAAGCCGTTACATGTGGCCCCAGGCTCGGATTCTGTTTGGATTTTGCCTGTGTAAGGATGGGGGCTTCCCTGGAATGTCAGGTGTTGTCCACATTCCCTGGATTCCCAGTGAAATGCCAGATTGCTGCTGCTGCTCCAGGGGTGGAATTCCCTGCCCAAACCTTGTGCAAGGCCTGGCAGAATGCACAGAGCTGCTCTGGGGGGCTCTGCCCTCAGTGCCCAGCGCTGGGATCCCAAACCCCTCGGTGCCCCTGCATGGGCTCAGTGCCCACCCTCCTGTGTGCCCATCAGGCACAGGGCTCAGCGGAATCCCCTTGTCCTGGATGGAGTCCCCATCACTTCCACAGCAGCACAGGGCACAGAGCCTCCGGAATGACGGGCAGGGAAGGAAGGTGGAGCCTGGTGAAGAGCGAGAGAGAAAGGGGAGGTGCCACCCTGGCTCTGTGCAGGCACAGGCAGTGGATCCGTGGGGAGAGGATCCAACAGACTCCCATGTAAAAGAGTCTGGCCCCAAGAACTTTTCCTTATCCATCTGAAAATCCATCCTGTTCAGCACCCTCAGTTAGGAATTTCAGAATTAACTTTTCTAATGTCCCCAAAATTGCCGAGTCCCAGGACACGGGTTTGCCATCGATTATTGATGGCTTTACATTCTGCTGGCACTGTCACAGTGCTCCTTGAATTCCCTTTTTAATGACAAAGCAAAGGTGAATGTAAATCATAAGTGTCTTGGAATGCTGGGAATCACTTCCTGAGTGGAAACTGCAGCGTTCAAGGACAAGAACTGCAGCCTCACTGGCAGTTTGGGAGGTGTTTCTCAGCTGAAGCCTGAGCAGGAGCTCCCCCATGGTGAAACACCTGGGAAGAATTCTGGAATACTGAGAGAGCCAAGGAAACACCTGCCAGGGTCACCTTCCCAGGCAGCTGCAGGGCCCTGCTGTGACTGCACCTTCTCCCTTCTCCAACCTTTCCCCCAGCACAGAGCTGCAGGTGGCTCATTCCAAGCAGGGAATGGTTTCCATGTTGGCTCCTCGGTAGCTGAAGATTCTTTCTGCCCTTTCTAAATCTTTGTTGTGCAATGGTGATAAATGCCCAAAGTGCCAAGGGAATAGAGTGGAGAAAAAATGGACTTGGACACTTTATAAACCCATTCTTTAGACATGTGACAGAGATGTGACTTTTTAAATTTAATGAGATCATATCAGTTAATACCCAGTGCTTTGCTGCCTTTTTATGAGGTAGCAGCAGCTCATTCCCATACTGAGAACTCTTTTAAACATGATTTATTGTAAATGTGGGTCTTGTGTGTAGGGGCACAAATCATGGAGGCAGGAAGTGTGGCTGGAGACACTGGGAAATAATTTAATGATCCTCTGAGGTTGTTGTGTTGTGGTTTAAAATCAAGGTTTACTTTGCTGGTGGTTATTTTTTTTGTGGGTTGTTTGGGGTTTTTCTGAAGAGACCCTTTGGTTTTGGCTACAGAATTCCTTTACAAAATAAGAAGTTACAGAAATGAATAAAAGGGGCATTAGCGGAAAAGCAGAGTGGTGTCTGTCACTCAGTTTCTCTTTGTGTAGCAACAGCAGAATTCCCAGTTGGTTGCACGGAATCCCAGAGTGGTTTGGGTTGGGAGTGCCCTTAAAGGCCCCAGTCCCACCGTGCCCCGGGCAGGGCCAGCCCCAGGTCTGACATCCCTGTCCCAGTTGCAGAGCTGCTTGCTGCTGCAGCATTCCCGCTCCTGGGCTGGCATTCCCAGCTCAGGCACTGCAGTGTTCCTGGCCAGGCCAGGCTGCAGCTGAAGCTCTGGGATGGCAGAGCCTTCCCTGCCACTGACCCAGCCCTGGCACCCGCTTTGGCCCGGGGCGCACGTTCCAGGCCATGGCAGCTCTCTCTTTATTTTGGCTGAGGCTTTGAGGTTTTAATTCCTCCCCTGCCCGTGTCCGGCGGGGATTGGGAACTGGAAGCCAGGTGACAGCCAGCAGAGCCCCCAGCACTCCCTGCAGCCTGCCCGAGCTCTGGCAGGCCCAGCAGAGCCTGGACGAGACCCTTCATTACCACATGGCTGGAAACCCGAGTGGAAAAAGTGTTCTCGTAAATCCTGTCAGGAAAAACAGCCCAAAAGCAGAGAATTCCAGTGAGACCTCGGGGGGCCGTGAGGAGTTCACAGCACGATCGGATCGCGGTGTGCCTTGGCGCCTTCCCGGGGCTCTTCAGAGTGCCAGGGATCTGTCACTGTCCCCGGGGTGGCACCTGCCCTGCCCTGCCCTGCCCGCCCTCGGCCACGGGCTGTTGGAATTCTGCCCGGGGGTTAATCAGGAAAACTTTCCCACCAGGAGCACAGGGCAGCCATGGACGGCTCATCAGGGAGGGAGGGTGGAATCTCTGCTCCTTAAGGGTTTTCTCCAGGCTGGACTCGTGTCTGCAGCTCCTCCAGGGAGGCACAGCAGGAACTCGGGGTCAGCTCCTGACAGGACACCAGGCTGAGCAGTGAATGCTCCTCTGCAGCTCTCCTGAGCTGGCAACAGCTCCCCAGTTCCCTACAGTGGAATTCCAGTGGCACTTTGAGCCTGTGAATACTCAACTGTGCCTGCCTTCTCCAGCAACTGGAGAACAATAAATCCTTGGAGCACAGAACTCCACTTACACTCACCCCTGAATCCCATTAGTTAAAAGAATTAAATGCAATTTAAAAATTATTTTTTATATATTTGGCTTTAAATTCTTGAACAAAACTGTCCCGGCTGTAAAAAGAACGAGGGTCTTACCTGTGCCTGAGCTCTTGTGTGCTTTACTGGGACTGCACAAACCTAAGGATGCTGCTGTGTCCCAGTTACTGTCACGGCAACACCCCAAAGTGTCAATCTGTGTCCTTAAATGCATTCCTCCGACAGCCTGATTTGCTCACGAGCCTCAGTTTTCAAATCAAAGTTTATTAAAATGTCAAAAACAGACCTTACAGTTCCACATAGAAAGGGAGGGCGTACATGGGACAGGCAGTAATGCTGCAGGGGAGGGCAGGAACTCAGAGCTCCCCTGGAGCCATCCAGGGACAGGGCTGGGTGTCCCAGCAGCACTGGGGGCTGCCCCGGCACGGGGGAGCCCAGCTGGCCTGGGGGAGCAGAGGAGGAACCTGCCAGCTCTGGAGGGGCAGAGGATGACCCCAGCAGCTCCAGAAGGGGCAGAGGATGACCCCAGCAGCTCTGGAGGAGCAGGTTTTGGTTTTCAAAGCCCCATCAAGCCCCAAGGAGCACCAAGGGCCCGTCTGGGGCCCTGACTTGGTGCAGCAGCAGCACCGTGGCTCCCGAGGGCTCAGGGACTTCACGCTCAGCTCTGTTCTCACATCACAAACTCCTCATTTCCAGCAATCATCAGGAAGGAGCAGATGGAAGATTTAATACTCTGAGTCCTTAACTGCCCCTTCTGCTAAAAATTAAATATTGGATTCATCTGAATATTCGAGAAAGACACATAAATACAAAAGCAGGTACATAGTAAAAAACATGGAACTTCTCAAGCACACTGCTCAGGCCACCACTAGAGAGGGTCTCGTTCTCATCCCAGCTCAGCACAGCCACGAAATTCCATCCTCCTGCCCCTCAGAGAAGCAGGAGAGCTCTGGATGCTGTGGATGTGGCTGAAGTCCTTCCCTGGGCTGGGTTCTTCCTGCTTTTCCAGTCTGGAAGCAGCTCAAGGCACAGGTGCCACCACTGGCTGCTCGGGATGAGTCCTGAACATCCTTCACCCTGCAGAGGATCCTGCACGGTTCAACCACGCTGATGCAAGGGGGAGGAAACTGTGAGCAACTCAGGGGCTCCCTCAGCCTTTCCTGGCACACAGGGGCAGCCAGAGCTCCAGGGAAATGCCTTACGACGGGATTTCTCCATCTTTGTGCATATGCACACTGACTGCTGCAGATTAAGTCAAATGGACAGCGCTGGATTACTCCTAAGACAAGCTTAACACAAAATACAACCTGCAATTCAGTACATTAACAATAAACAGATCACCACAGCCTGGGAAAGCACAGGGTGGCCCTGCTGTGCAGCCACACCAAGGGAAGAGTCAAAGGTCCTGCTGCTGACTCTGGAGGAACAAAACCGGGTGAAATCCTGGAGAAACGTGCCCAGCCTGCCATGAAATGAGAGGATATTCCAGCCTGGAGCCACAATCTGAGCCAGGGCAGGCTGCTCCCATCCCTTTGAGCTCCACACCAAAGCTGCTTTAATCAAGTTCTAGGAGAAATCAAACCAAGCCTCCCGTGCCCTCAGGGCCCTGCTGCCTCCAGCAATCCCAGCCCAATCCCTGCTCCCTGGCCCTGCTGGCCACAGGAACTGGAATTCACCTCACCTGCAGCCACTGCAGCTGCGAGCATCCAGGGCAGTGTGGCAGAACATCCCTGGGCTCAGCCCCAGCCCCTGCCCTGGGGCCCAGGGCTCTGCTGGGCTCCCCAAGGTGACTCCAGAACCCACGGAGCTTTCATGAATCAGGGAGCAGCAAACAAAGGGGACACAGGAAATTAATGCTGGAGTGGAGATAATCTCCCCTTTATCTCACTGCACTGCTGGGCCAGCTCACATTTTCCACTGGAAGTCATTTCACTTAAGGGATGATGAGGGGAGATTAACCAAAGTTTTTATGCATCATCTGAATCCTGGGTTTCAAAAGGCCTCAATTAATAATGGTCAGCAATTAATTATCCTTTAGCAAGGGGCTGTAGCTCGGGTTCCCAGCGGAAATCCAGGTTGGCTGAGGAGATGACTCCGTGTGCAAATTTCATATTAAAATTGGGATTTATTCCCACTCGTGGCCTCTGGATCAGGCTGGGCTCCTGCTCACACCATCACCTGCAATCCCTGCCTCTGGGATTTCAGATGGCATTTTTGTGGTTAATGCAGGAGGCACAGAGTCCAGTTTCCTCTGTGATGATGAGGACAACAGCAACACAACATTTGTCACCAGAATAAGCAAATAAGACACTCATGGAGGAAGCCCAGGGCCATTTTACAGAGCACATTTTTTCCCCTCTAATTTAAACAGCCAAAAGTCAAATATTTCTACAAAATTCAGGATAAACTTTTCTTTACAGCTATGTTAGAAGCCTGTATCTGAACCAATGCTGAACCAATCCATGGTGACAACAGACCTGCTTTGTAAAAGGCCCAAAAAAATCCTATTTTATACAGATCTCTTCTTGCCCCAGTCTGTGCAGGCAGAGGTGTAGCTCAGATCAGACACAACGTCAAATTTATCAAATCAAACACCCTGAAAGGCTCCAGTGCTGCTTGTGCTGTGCTGCACAGAACAGCTCCAGTCCAGACCCAGCCAGAGGATATCCCAAAGTCCTGTGTCACCAGGAGCACATCCAGCATCAGAGTCCTCCTCACATTTCAGATGTTTAAAGAAGGTAATTCCTTGTTTCTGGAAGGGAACTTCCCAAACCATCCCTTCACCTGCGTTCCAGCAGCAGCAGCAGTGGCCTCTGGGATCTGTTCTGGTGGCACTGGGTCCCCTCAGCTCCAGGAGCGGTGGCTTTGCAAAGCAGGAGAGGCTGGCAGGGGTCTCTGAGGAAGGAGCCGTTGGCAAAGGAGGAGCATGGAAATTCTGGTGGGTGTTTGATCCAGTCAGTTCCCCCAGTGGATCAGGGCACTCCCACAGAAGTTTGCAGGACTAAAGCTTTATCAAAACCATCCTCAAGTCCATCCCAGTGAGTCCTTCCCACAGCCACATCCAGCTTGTTTGTCTTTCATAGATAAAAAAACAAGAAAAAAGATTTCCATAGGAAACTGATTATCACTTTCTCCCCTCCCCCTCTAATATTTTGGCACAAATGCATAAGATATTCACTGCAGATATAAAGAAACAGATAATTGGACAGCACTGACAAAGTTATGAGACTTATTGGCAAATGTGAATCATAAAAACAAGTGCTAAGGGGTTTCTTCCAGTTGTGGAAATTGTTTGCCATGACAATTGCTGCAGGGATAAAAAATATTAAACAGTCTGGAGCATGTATGTTTAAAATGAACATTTTATAATACAAGTAAATACACACTCTCCCGATTTCTTCAGGCAAAAACACATCTTAGAGCATTTTCATCAGCTGGAACAGTTTCACACAGAGGGCTGGTTTGTCTGAGATGTCCTGGCTGCTGCATGTGACAGCATGGGATCCCCCTCCAGGGGTGCTCCACAGCCAGGCCTGGACATCCCATCCCTGCTCCACCTGGACACGGAGCCCCTCGGGCTTTGGAGAGGCAGAGACTGGGAAAACACAGCCCAGAGCTGCTGCACTTAATGCACACAGACTGCAGAGAACTGAGCTTGAGCTGCTCCAGGCAGGGCTCCCCACGGGACAATTCTCCCTCTGGGAGCAGCTCCAGTCAAAAATCGCTGCAGCAACACCACAAAGAGCCTCAAACTGGGCTTTTGCTCCATGTGAATCCAGGCTGATCCATGAGGGCATCATCCCTCGGCCACCAGGCAAGGCTCTGCCTCCTTGCTGCAAGTCCAGTGTGGGGAATTCCTTCCTTTTCAGAACATTC